GGGCGTCTGAGGTTGGTCTGTGGGGGGCGTCTGAGGTTGGTCTGTGGCGGGTTCTGATGAGGTAGTTCTACCTGATGTGGTTTGGAAACTGAATATCTTTCTCTCTGTGTCCTGGAGCTGGCCCTCTGAGGTAGGGGCGTCCATCCTGTAACCTGGCCTCCTCTGTGTTCCTGGCAACTCTAGGCTGCGGGTGGTCCTGAAGTGGCACCCCCTTTCTCCACAGAAAGGTCCTAACTGGGCCTCTCCGGAAATCTTCCCCATGGCTGGTTTAGGACTGTCGGCAAGTGTCTCTGCAAAAGAGTCCCATGTAGACAAACTTCCTATTTTCCTGTCGCCCTGTTTACTTGGCCACTGGCAGGGAAGATACCTGCACTCCAGGTGCTGGACACCCCTTACTGGTTTTTCACAAACATCCAGGACAGTAGTTGGAGAAGTGTGCAAACAAGGCCTCTGGCCTTGAGCTGGGCTTCACAGAGGTGTCTACACTTTTAAGATAAGTCACACCTGGGCTCCATGGTAACAGCTGGCAGGGGGAGGAAAGAGGGGGAGAGAAGCTCTCCCCTTCCCAGGTGCTGCCCTTGAGGGGTTAACTTGCCAGAACAGTGAGAGAAAAAGCTGCTTTTATGTGAGCTTCTGCAGACTGTGAACTTCGGAGCCCCTCCCCTTAGATGCTGGGGATAAAACTCTGAAACTCCCTGAGCTCGGGGTTCAGGGGATTGATTGATAACAGCAAAAGCTGTGCCCTCTGAACCTGGCTGCAGCCAGTAGAACTGTTTCCTGCTCTCTTCGGTGCCTTGCCTCGTTTGTCCCTCCAACAGTCCACTAGTTTCTGCACAGTGGGCGTCCAGCAGGTAGAAGGGCTCTGGCATGGTCCTGGCCTCACCTAGCAGGACGTTTCTGAGTCTTGGAGCACTGGACACTGGAGCACGCAGTTTTCTAGGTAGCCAGAGGGCCAAGACTGTGGTGCACGTCGCTTCCTCGCCAGATGGTCTTTTTTTGCCAGGACAAGTCAGGCCAGTCCAGCCTGATTTTCTTGTCCAAGAAACAGGGGTGGGAGTCAGGGTGCTGTGATGGGTGCTGTGGCTGTCCTGGAGTCCCACTGCACTCCTGCCAGTCTCCCTCCTGCCCTGCATCCAGAGCACTGGGCAGTGGTGCCTCCCTGCTTCTGTCCCATGGACCTGGGCCACCCCTCGCAGCAGTGGTGTTCACCAGCCTGGACGTCCCTGAGCCCCAGAGTTCCAAGATTTCTGCAGAGGCCTCATCAGCCTCCAGCCTGTCGCTTCCCCAGAGGAGGGGTGCGAGGCTCAGGCATCCATCCTGACCGGGGTTGTGCTGACCAGCCCCATCCAGGAGCCCCCGAAGGAACCATAGATGCTCCTGTTATTACCAGGAGACCCCAGGGCCACAGTCCTGTCACCAAGGAGACCTCAGGACATAGTCCTGTCACCAAAGGGATCTTGGGGACACAGTCTCATCACCAAGGAGACCCCAGACTGGAACAAGGCCTGGTGTTCTTTCTCATTGTCACATCATCTGCTAGAGCCAGAGGCTGCAAGCCCAAGGCCGAGGTGTGCTTGGGGCTAGGACCTCTTGAGGCCGGGCCCTAGGCACAGAGAGGGTGGTCGCCTTCCACACTCACCTGCATCCACGTGCCCCCTCCTCATGAGGCAGGAACTTCAGATCAGGGCCCCCCCGGGGCCCTCATGCTGAGCAGTGGCCTCTGTAAAGACCCTCCCACATTCTGAGGCCAGTGGGGAGAGGATCCCTGTATAGGTGTCAGGGGACAGGAACTCAGAACACCCCCACCAGAGTGTGGGATTCCGAACGTTTGCCACTTCACCATCTGAAAAGAGGAGGGCTTCATTGTGCTCTGAGGCAGCACTGAGTGTATTTAAGGGACAGAGCAAGGAGGTAGCTTCTCCCAAGGCATGGGGAGCGAGTCCACAAAGCCCCTGGGGAGGACACACCTGGAAGGGAATCTGCTTTCAAGGGTCCTGTAATCAGGCAAGGAGAAGGGGCAGGAGAGACGCTGGCCATGGGGTCCCCACTCACACCAGTCCTCAGAAGAGCAGAGCTCTCCCCTGAGGGGGTCAGGAGGAGGCAGGAGGGGCGCTAACAGGCGGTTCTGCAGGAAGATTTACAGCCTTCCTGCATTCCTGTGTGTACACATGCCAGATGCAGCACGTTTCAGTTTGCCCTGGGGTCCACCCAGCTCATCACCTCCTACATCTGACTAGCAGGCCCACACCAGCTCACCACCCCCTATACCTGACCAGCAGGTCCACCCAGCTCACCACCCCTCCACCACTGGCTGAGTTCTGGGCAGCAGGCTCCCATGGGGTCCTGGGAAGTGGTGAACTTCTGGCGGCCAGCCTGGTGCACATGCTCTTGTGGACACAGGCACACACACACACGCCTCCCCAGGAAAGGGCTGCACACACAATGCTGGGGAGGCGTGTGGGCCTGTGTCTGTGCTCAGGAGTATGTGCAGCCCCTTGCTGGGGAGGCGTGTGTGTGTGTGCCTGTGCCCATTAGGGTGTGCACACCTCGGTTGGCCCTGGAGGTGGGGACAGCCCTCTTGCCCCCAGGCATACTAGAGCTCTGCTTGTGCCAGGCTCTGAGACCCACAGAGAGCAATGGGGGCAGAAGGCCCTGCAGCCTGGGGACCAAGGCTGCCCATGTGGTCCAGCAGCCAGGAGGAGCAGCTTTGTGTTTCCAGGTCAGCAGGATCAGACGAGGCTCCCACTCACCCTCCATCTGTTCCTTTCCCGGGGGGCAGCCCTGGGACAGCCACCTTGGCATGCACTGTGGGCTTGCAGCTCCCCAAAGGGCTGTGAGAGGCTCCATGCGTTTGCTCCCAGTTTCCCCAGCAGACTCGCCCAGCGCTCCGGGCTTCCTGGTGTCACAGGGCCTCTCCTGGCCTCTGCCTCCTCCCAAGTTTCTCCCATGGGCTGTTTTCCCTGGACTTTCTTCTTTGACCGACCTCAGCCCCTGAGCCTCTCCTTGTTGGTC